ACGTTTTGACACCGAACTACACTTCTTTCTTTCTATGTGCCCCCAGAGCGTAGCCCCAGTCCGCGCCATTGACGACGTTTGCGACCTGCTGAGAGCTGCGTTATCTGTTCGGGACTAGTGATACCGCTTATGAACTGTTTTAACTGGCGGCCAGACACAGCGTCAAATGGAAAAAAATTAATGGAAAAAGTTGAATGGGAGAAGTCGAATGGAAAAATTGGAATGGAAAAAGTCGGAAGACAACAACAACAAAAAAAATGACGGATTAAGTCGAGCGAGATAAAAGTCGAACCCGAAAAAGACTGAACAGCAAAAGGCAGACCGGCATAAAATCCGACTGGGATAAGCCTCAAATGGGAATAGTCGAATTGAAAAAAAAAACGAATTGAAACGTCAAAAGAGTTAAATGCAGTCGGCGGGAAAGATTCAAAATAGAAAAGTCCAATGGCGAAAAGTCCAACAAAAATCCGGCACGAAGTCCACAACGCACTACTGGGCGCATATGATGGCCCGATCGGTATCGCAAGCGCAGCTTGAAACGCCGGCCACTGACAGTGGAGATGACTGCTTACCCTGTAACGTCATCTTATCAGTGCCTCCTGGCGTCCTGAAGGTCAATAACTCGGCATGGGAATTCTGAACCATAATGCTTTCTTCCTAACTTTAGGGAGAAAATGAGTGGAATCCAGGGAGCTGTTCGTGTATTAGTGTTTTGAAGGCAAGTTACCTCATTTTACCCTGTTCTGACTTGCCCGCCCTGCCCCAACTCATTTAGCAAACCTGCGCCCCTGAATCATAAAGGGTTTTCTCGTGTCAAAAGCTTACAAGAGCCTTCCTCGCGGATATCCAGCACTATAGGTTTGTATTCGCATAATGTGAGTGTTATAAGGGCTTAGGCAACACACACGCAGGCTGGCTATCGACACAGTCGCACAACAGAGACCGTCCTCCGTCCTGCGTCCGCCTTGCGTACCCTGCTCCTCTTCCTCTCCCTGACGTACAACGCCGGGGATGCCGGGGCCGCACCCCGCCGCGCAGCCGACGAGAACTAGGTGATGCTGAGAAACAGTCGAGACCTTTATTTTGGCGTCGTATGTAGGTTCTTATGTAGTAGCTTGCCCCGAATGCTACATTAAAATTTAGTTGGTCCGATCCTGTGTCGTTCGATAGCAGCATGTTCCATCCGGTCCCGTCTGACTTCATCCTGTTCCGTCCGGTTTCGTCAGGTTTTGTCTGGTCCCCGCCCGGCCCCGTTCTTTCCCGTCCAGTTTCTTTCGACCCTGTCCGGCGACGTTCGATGCTGTCAGATCGCGCCCGGTCACGCATAGTCTCGGCTGGTGCCGTCCGGTTCGGTTCGGTCTCGTCCCATTTTGTCCCGTCCGATCCAGCACGGTTCCATCGATTCGGTCCCATCTCGCTGCTATTTCTCGATCCCTTCTGGTGTGATCTGGTCCCGTGCGGTCCCGCCCGCTCCCTTCTCGTCCCATCCAGCCCCATCCAGCTCTACGCGTCTCTCCCCGTGGCCAAAGCTTTATTCATGTCTCATACCAGGCGCCAAATCGTAATGACCTTTTTGTTTTAAATCATTTTGACCGCTGATGTTTTTTGCATACTTGAGTTCACCATCATCTCTGTCGATGCTCTGTCTCTGAGCCTATTCCGTTTCTATTGCTATCCCTTCCGACTTTTTGTCCGTCGACTTTTTCCGATTTGAATTTGAGCGCTTCCGACTTTTTGTCGTACGATTTTTTTGTTCGAGTTTTCTCCATTCGACTTTGTCTGACAGCCGTTTTAACCCTCACATTACGGGCCTCCCAGCTTAAAAACGGCATCTCTACTGGTATGAATGACTTGAGCAAACAGTAGAAACAAACGTTTGCAATTGTCACAGCGGACGACGCAGGCCATTTATAGAGAGACTCATGGGTTTAGGTCTGGATCAGTACGTCACTATAAAAAATATGCTACGTCTGATCCACGAAGCCAAAATGCGCGTTGACGAGAATCACTGCGTTAAACGCCGCGGGGGAAACATCAAAGCTAAATTCAAAGCTAAAAAATGAAATCCACCACAGCTCAAAATCAGTCGAGGTATGTAGGATGTCCAAGCTGCCGCTGCTCCGGTCGCTGCTACCCCGACGGTCCCTGCCCCCACCCACAGGTCATGAGTCTTTGTCACAATTTGCATTCCCCGGCCTGACGCCCGGTCGGGTCGGTCCCGTGATTGTTTGTTCGGGTTGGAGCCACAGCACAGGAGAGACTCACACAGCTCGGGTCACCAGGCGGACAGCCACACATCACAATGTGACGTGGCGTTGAGTTCGAGTGATAATCGCCTCAGGCTTGTATAAATTTTTGTTTCTTTTTCTCCATGTATTGCAGAAGCATTTTGACCAATGAGTGCATTACCAACATTACCGGACCCACGTCGGAAAAGCAAAGCAAAGGAAAATTATTATTTTCGTGGTGATCAGGTGGGTGTGTAATGACATTTTTGCTGAGATTTTCAGAAGGATTTTGGGAAACGGATGCGTTTGATCTATCAATATGTGAGAAGTACAAAAAGTGCATGCTCAATTTAATTTCTCATCGCTGTCACTTTGCGTCCCTGAAAGTCCTGGATCTAGTTTCGGCTCATTTTCTTCATTTTTCCGCAATTTTCCATGGCTTATTTTTCTCCCAATCAAACAAGAGATTAGTTCGTGGAATGCTGCAACGTTGCAGGAAAAGTCGGTTTGCCCCAACAGCTTGCATGTTTAACCCAAAAATGTAACAGCACATGTTTTCCAGCGTTGCGCTCCGTGACGCTACATCGCACGACACCGTACTCAGTGGCTGCAAACACATTAGCTTCCAGAAGGCTTCCGGAGTCAGGCCGCCCAAGTTGAAGATTTCCTAATAGTTCAAGCAGGACTCGCTCGACCTGCAGCTTCTGTTGCCACCAGCCGTGCCATGGAAAAGCTGGGATCTTGTGGACGACACACGAATGTGTGATGATGACGGTGATTATTTGCGTGAATGGTGGACATAGTTCCGTGCCATGGAAAAGCTGAGATCTTGTGGACGACATACGAATGTGTGATGATGACGGTGATTATTTGTGTGAATGGTGGACATGGTTCCGTGCCATGGAAAAGCTGGGATCTTGTGGACGACATACGAATGTGTGATGATGACGGTGATAATTTGTGTGAATGGTGGACATGGTTTCTCAAGGCTTGACTTTGTTTCACCTGTTCCTTCCACCTTTACGAATACGTTCCGAAATATGGGTGGTCCACGTAGCTCTGCTTTAAAAGAGCTAAGTGAACCCGTAAAAAGTCGGTTTTAAGTTAGGTGCAGGGGAAGTTAGGATACGCGAGCCTTATTTAAACAGTCCAGGAGTGCCATCACGCTGTGGTAGTCTGTTAAGTCCAGGAGTGCCATCACGCTGTGGTAGCTTGCAAAGTCCAGGAGTGCCATCACGCTGCGGTAGCTTGCAAAGTCCAGGAATGCCATCACGCTGTGGTAGTCTGCAAAGTCCAGGAATGCCATCACGCTGTGGTAGTCTGCAAAGTCCAGGAATGCCATCACGCTGTGGTAGCTTGCGAAGTCCAGGAGTGCCATCACGTTGTGGCAGTCTGTAAAGTTTAAACAGTCCAGGAGTGCCATCACTCTGTGGTAGTCTGCAAAGTTTCGTAGTGACACATGGGTGTAAAATAGGGCATGGGAGGTGCAGGAGAGGCCATTACAACTCAAATCAAAATGCGTGCAATATTATGATTTAGTTTGTTTTGGCAGCTTGGCCACTTTTCCTCTTCACAGCATTACCCGATCACGCCTTGGCAGGATCCCTGTGGAAGGCAGGCGGGTGTTACCTAAGCTTGTATTACAGCAGTGTTTTAGTTCGCGACACTTCGGCCGGAGGCATTTCAGCTGTTTGGGATCTGATTTCATTGAACTCACCAGGCCGCATGCAAATGTTTCGGCCCATTTAGGAAAAACACGCTTAAACAAAATGTTGTTCGGTGACCCACTCCCCTTAAATACTGGATGTTCGATCCGCACGGGTTAGACCGGTGTCGGCGGTGCGGCCAAAAGCTGGGGGCTCAGTGGCCTCCCACTGGTCCTGACCGTGCACAGACCACCGCTCCGCCGGTTATTCGTTCATTCGGCCGCCCGGATTCGTCGGTCCGTGTGCAGCCTGATTTTTCACGTCCGTACAAGGCAGCTGGTTGATTTGTAAGCAGTTCATATGAACTGGCATGCCATATTAATAAGCCATGGCGACCACATCATTATGACCATACCTTTGGTGCAATGGTTTCCGCCTACAGAATACGTCGCGTTCGTTATGACAAGGGCCTGCGGTCCGAGCAGCACTGCTCTAGATTTCTGACAACTTTGTATTTCTTTTTGCAGGCGAGTGTCCGCATGCTACGGAGCGCGAGCCGGGCCAGTCAGTGCGGCTCCGGTGTCACTCTCGCGGCGGCCACCGGCGCGGCAGCACGGGCCACCCGGACGCGGCACAGACCCGAGGCGACCGCAAACAGGATCCCACTGGGGCGTGCCAGCACGGACCCAGCGGCCCGCCAGGGATCTGCCCAGGGTACGTGTCCGCTGGCCGGCTGCCGGTGAGGCGCTGCGGTCAGCAGGTGGCGCGGCCCCGTCAGCTCTGTGGTGGCTCGGTGAGGCTCCGAGCAGCGTAGCTCGTGATCGTCGCGGCGCAGGCACGAGCTCCTCCCTCGGCCCGCGCCAGTCGGCGCCGGAGCTGGCCGGCAGTGGCAGTGAGGAGAGGGCGACAGCGTGACCCGTGCGCGCCGCTACGCTGCTGTTGGAGCAGCAGGAGCAGGAGCAGGAGCAGCCGACCCCCGGAGCGAGAGCGCCCCGCCAGGTGAGGTCGGCTCGCCCGTCGGAGACCCACGCGGCGGGCACCGCGCTCCGCAGCCGAGCGGCGCCGTTCCGGAGAGTGCAGCCGCGACCACCGCGCCGTCGCCGCCGTGGCGCCTGCCATGAGCGGAATGGACGAGGAAGGGCCGCCGGCCACCCTGCACATGAGCGCCGTCGAGGAGCCCGAGACGGTCAACGACAAGCGCTTCCTGTTCAGCGAGCTGGGCGCCTCGCGGCCCGTCTGGGTGGTGGCCGGTTACCAGGTGCCCAAGCTGCCGGTGCTGGCGGGTGGCTGCGCGCTGCTGGCCCTGCTGTGCGTGTTGCTGGGCGGCTGGTGCGGTGCGCTGCACGGTCGCGCTGCGCCGCCGCCGCCGCCGGCAGAGTGCGAGACGGCCGGGTGTCTGCGCCAGGCGGCTGAGATCGCCAGCTACCTCAACAGCTCGTCGCCGCCCTGTCAGAACTTCTACGAGTTCGCGTGCGGCAGATTCGACGACGTGCACCCGCTCGGTACGGAGATCAGCTACGGCGTCGTGGACGTGCTGGAGAGCCTCAACAAAGTGCGCGTGGAGGAGCTACTGGAGCGGACGCAGTTTCATAACGACTACTCCGCCGTCAGCAAGGCCAAGACATTCTACAGCACATGCATGGCATCTTTCCACGGCAACAGCAGCTCCCAACGCCTCCAGGACCTCATCAACTCAGTCGGGGGCCTTGATCTCCTGGACACGTTCGACCCCGACGAATGGAGCTTCCCCGACGTGTTCCTCAGGACGCGCGAGAACAACCGGCTGCGCTTGTTCTTCTCCATCACGTGGCTTCAGTCTCTGAACCGCGTGATGGTCTCGCTGCCGCGACTCGGGCTCCGAAACCCACGTGTCTACACAGACGACTCGCCCAAAGGTAAGACGAAGCGCGACGTCTACCGCCAGGCGATCGTGGCCGTGCTGGCGCTGGTGCAGGCCGACCTGCCGGCCGAGCGGACGCTGAACCGCAGCTGCGGCGACGACTGTGCCGGCGCGCTCGCCGACGACGTCATCTACATGGAGACCGAGATCGCGAAGGTGATGCCGAAGAGCGGCGACCTCTTGCCGGCGCCGGCCAACATCATGTCGCTGGAGGACATGAGCCAGCTGGCGTCGCAGTTCCAGTGGCGGCGCCTGCTGGACACGCTGTTCGGCACCGGGGTGATCGCCGCCGCGTCCAGCGTACAGATACCCAGCAAGGAGTACATGTCCAACATCAACAGCCTGATCAAGACAAGCAACACCACCGTGCTCAACAACTACTTCCAGTGGAACCTGATCCGACAGTATCTGCCGGCCATGGGACCGCTGTACGCCATCTTGGCGGAGGAGATGAACTTCATCACGCAGGGCAAGGCCACCAAGGCGCGCCAAGAGGTCTGCTTCGATTTGATGCGCAACTACTTCCCCCGAGCGCTGCGGGCGCTCTTCATCCGCGGGCACATCGGCGAGAACAACGTGGCGGCGGCGCAGCGACTGGTGACGCGCGTCAAGAGGCAGCTGGCCACCAGCTTCGGCTGGATGACGCAGAAGGCGCGCGACACCTCTATCACCGTGCTGCGGAACTTGCAGGTCAACTACGGCCATTCGGCCTGGGTCACCGACCCGCGCCGTCTCAACGAGTACTACGGCAGTCTCACGCTGAACAAGGCCGACTTCTTCACCAACATGCTGAACGTCGACCGCTTCAAGGCGTCTGAGCTGAAGACGAACGCGGCGCGGCTGGTCAACGACGACGCGAGCGACGACGACGTGTGGGTGGAGGGCGACACGGCTGACGTCAGGGTCACGTACAACCCCGTGCGGGGTCGGCTGCGCGTGCCGGCCGGTGGCCTGCAGGTGCCGCTCTTCAGCCACGAGAACCCCGACTACTGTCAACAGCCGCCACGCTGGGCTCGCTGGTGCTGGCCGAGCTGGCTGGCCCGTTCTTCCTGCGCCACCGCACCTACAGGTCAGTGGTGTTGTACGGACGGGTCGACGGGTCGGGTCGTGTCGTACCGTGGGACGGGTCGGGTCGTGTCGTACCGTGGGACGGGTCGGGTCGTGTCGTACCGTGGGACGGGTCGGGTCGTGTCGTACCGTGGGACGGGTCGGGTCGTGTCGTACCGTGGGACGGGTCGGGTCGTGTCGTACCGTGGGACGGGTCGGGTCGTGTCGTACCGTGGGACGGGTCGTGTCGTACCGTGGGACGGGTCGTACCGCGGGGCCGATAGGCCAGTTCAGCGTATGTGATGACGCCTGGTCGGATTCATGCTGTGTGGATTCCTGCTGTATGCGGTGGACTTTTGATGTGTGGTAATGGGCTTCTGCCACGCGCTTTGCTGCACTCCCGTGGAATTGCTACATTTTCCCTTCAAGAGTGCTGGGCTGTGAAACATATCGAATGCCAAGGATTGCCATTACAGTTTGAAAGGCTGTCCATCTCACATTCGCTTTTTATCGTTATGTTGAGAAGCGGTGTGTTGATAATTAATCCGTCGGGTAGTAATTCAGGCCAGTCGGCCATGCTTTGCTTTCAGGGCCAATGGAAGCCTGCTTGTTATGTAAGTCCAAGGTGAACGTAACTGGAATAGAAAAACTGGCCCAATAGTGTCGTTATGTTCGCCGTCATCGCAACAAGCTCGGCATCAATGAAGGCGAGCAAGGTCATGTTTTGCTCTCGCTGCATCGAGTACCCACCCTCATATCTTGAACATTTGCAACGCGACGGCTGTCGCTAATGGTAGAGCGCAACAAACAGGTTATGCAGACGCCTCGATTGTTAAAAAAATCACGGTTTTGCCTCAGTCCTGGCATTTCGACTCGCCCCGTTGCATTTTGCAGTCATTTATTTTTGCTGATACCGCTGCCAAACACAAAGTTGTGGGAATTGCAGCACCTGATTTCATTGAAAGATGCACAAGTTAGTAATTCGCAACACGTAGACGTCAGAAAAAGTAACATGTCATGGTGCGTATTAGAATTATGCAACACACTGGTAACAATTTATTATTTAAACGGTGACAGCTCCCCGCATACTTCTGGTGGCCTCTCCCACATTTCCGTTTCAAGTTGCTCAATGTGTAACAATCTCACGGAGAAAATCATTTTATTCGTGTAAGCGAGAAAACGAAATGAGGGTTCTGAAAGAGAGACATATCCTTTCTTTTGATTTGTGGTTTATTCCTTTGATTGCCTGTGTGACGAGCAGCCCGGCTCTCTGTGGCAGCCCAGCCTGAACCCGATACTTGAGGTGTGTTGCTCCCGCAAATTTTTCCCGTAAACTACATCCGTTCGTGCAGGCCATACGTGCACCCACTGCAGGTATATAGGTCCGCCCGCAATCTGGTATTGACCTGCTGGGCCACTCTATATGGCCCTGCTGGACACCCATCGTACATCTGTGGAGTGTTTCCTTTCCTCTATTCATCGTGCGTGGTGTGGTACACAGGTGATGCATGCCACAACGCGGTATGCGATGTATGTAACTTACACATACAAACACATGTATCGCTTGTTTATAAAAACACACGATGTATGTGTTTTATCGGCGATATCACGTTATGTCGCCGATAAAACTGGACCATGTGCGGTTGGGAATGTTGCTAACCGCACGTCGCTAGCGTGCGGTTAGCAACGCGGTAATGGGCGTTGCTGAGCGCCCGTGGTCCAGTTTCATCGGCGATATCACCTGGCCAGTGTACGGCATCGCGGACCGTCCTGCACTGTACCCTCCTCCCCTCGCCAGCGGGTCCGCTCACCCTTGCACGCCCGCCCCAGACGGCCCAGCTGGTGGGACGCCGAGACGTCAGCCAGCTATCGACGCTACGGCTTGTGCCTGATGGACAGCCTGGACGGCTACACGGTACAGGTGGAGCGAGGCTTCGAGTTCAAGTCGAACAAACAGATCGGCGCCCACCCAAGGTCAGTACCTGCGGAGGGCTAGAGCCCAGCGCCGGACTAGCCCAGCGGAGGACTAGTCCAGCGGAGGACTAGCCCAGCGCCGGCCGGCGGCCGCGCTGTGTGGCGCGGGGTTTTCCGGACGCGAGCCGCTGGGCTGCGCGTCAGCCGGCAGGGTGACACGCAGCCGTCGAGTACGAGCCTGCTAAGCGCATTTTTTCAGAGCAATGTGTCCTTGATGTTCTGGCTCGGTTGTTGTGCTCAAGCTGTTGGGAAAGGCCCATCGGCCCATCTGGCTGCGGTTGAGGCCAGCTCGATGACGGAGTTTCCGCGCCGCAGGTCCGTCGTTCCGCTGGACCCCCGCAAAGCCTCCAACTACGTGCAGTCGGAGCACTTGGGCTTCATGCTGGCCCACAAGCTGTTCAAGCAAATCCTGGCGGACGATGGTCCTCAGCGCACACTGCCGGGCACACAGGTTCGGCGATTCGGAGCTCACTGCCGTTACTTGCTACGTGACGGGGCGGGGAGGGGGGGGGGGGGGGGAGGGGAGGTGGGAGGGATCGTAGCACCCGGTCAATGTAAACTTTATTAGCGCCAGCGTTCATTCGACTGTTACCTTTTTGGTTTCGCCGCATTCAACAGGAGCATAATTCTGAGCTGCACGGAAAATTGCGTAAACAGAGGGCGAAAGTCGCAGTGTTTCATTGCATCGTCAAAAATTGGCGGTAAATTTTACTCTGGTAACATTTTGGTTTCACCATCCTGTAACAGAAAGCTTCAGGCCGCGTACTGGATTCTTTGAGACCAGACCATAGTGCCGCAAACGTGAGATGACAAATAAGTGTATGATGATGAAGTAAAAGGGTCTCCGAAGTGAAAAGTTGCGGCTGTTTTGATGTCTCTCACGACAAGCATCGGTCCTGCTCGTCCTTATCCAATTTGTTAAGCGGTCCCTGCGTAACCCTAACAAGTGGTCCCTGTAACGCTTGCGTGAAAAGGGCCATAGCGTGACTGGCATTGTGCGTCACAGAATGGTCACCTCCGGGAGCGGGTCGGGTCCGGGCACACCTTAGGCGGCCCTTGAGCGCTTCCGGATTCACACGGCACTGTACGCAGGCTCAGCTGTCGCTCACTTACCTTCCTCTCTCTCGAGATGCTGTGCGCGTTTGGGCCACGTGAGGAAGCCAGCTATGGGTGCAGCGTGTCCACGCAGCCAGCCAGACTGTCGGCAAGCTCCGCCTGGCTGTTTACGGTTAAGCCGCCGTGCTCTCCGTAACCAGCGGTACTGCTAGCGCGGGGTCAGATTACACGCTGAGGCAGACTGCACCTGCCAGCTTAATCCCTCGGCCGTCGCTGACATTCAGAGGAGGCCGACGTCAGCGATGTCTCAGTGGTCCAGGATCCGGTCATGGCTCCTCCTACGCGGTCGTTTCAGGGCCAGACTCCGGAGCAGCTCTTCTTCCTGGCGTACGCCCAGAGCCGCTGTCGGCACACCAACCGATACCTGAGAGTGCTACTCAACAGCGCCTTCAAGGAGTTTCCGCACCCGGAGATGATCAACAATTTTGTTTACAATTATCCTGATTTTATGAAAGCGTACCAGTGTTCCTCAATCCCACCCAAGCACCAGGGCAAGCACTGCACCCTCGGTTGAACGGTCTGTGGAGGCTGTGACCAGGTAATGGTGTGTTCATTAGGTGGCTGGCTGCGTAGTGGCAATGACAGCTATATTTGCATTACAACTAGGCAATAAATCGGCCTTGAAGCCGGTACGATGGTAGTTTTCGTATTGTTCAATATTTCGTAGCAATGACGTGGTTCACTTTTGTCACATTTCGGGCAAAATTTAGCGTGCGTCCGGCGGCTCGCTAAATTTCGCTGTACAATTGATGGCCCGCAGCAATTGCTGGAGTGCATGTGTGGATGTGTTCGTGTGCGTATGCGCGTGCGCGCGTGCGTGCGTGTGTGAGTGTGTGTGTGTGTGGGGGGGGGGGGGGGGGGGGCTGTGCTCAAACCGCACATATGGATATGCGTCAACATGGCTGTTATTCAATACGGCTGATGCTTCACGGCCAATGCGTGCTTATGATATCGTGCGGACAAGCAGGCAACAAATTAAACCGTTCGGTGCCAATAACGGTTCATACAACGGAATGCGTTCAGTGATCAACGTGAAGCGTGTTGTAAATAGTCATCTAGTGGCGCAGTTATGCTCCGATCAGCTGTGTTGGTTGTTTGACACGCATTCAGCTTTTTTTGGAATACATTATATGCCCGATCGTTTGCGTAGCGCGATGCACAGCGTCGGCAACGTTGGTAATGATACCAAAACGTATGGATTGTCAGCAAAAGCAAGAATTCGGCAGAAACCGCTGTTTTCATCCAGCCCTTCTCGACACGAATGTTTCTTTTTTTTGCTAATTGCAGCTTTGGGATACCCGAGAACGGACATCAGGCGTAGGTACCGGGGTTTCGGCGGACACGACAGAATCGAGTCGTATCGTGACTCTGCAGACAATTCAGATTCCAAAGACAAGCACCGTTCACTCGATAGCATCACTCAATGGAACTTTCCAGGAAATCACTCTGGGCACAATTAGGAAATATGGTGACGTACGTCACGCAACCAAAAGCACAAGGGCCTAAGACAACAAGGACCTGGCCTAAAGTGGCCGTCAGTATTGATGGTGAGACTTAAACGGCCGATGGCTGATAGATCCCGGCCGACCATCTTCACCGGCCGACGGCCGATGGATACCGCCGACCGTCTTCAACGGCCGATGGATACCGGTCGACCGTCTTCACCGGCCGATGGCTGATAGACCCCGGCTGACCGTCTTCACCGGCCGATGGCCGATGGACACCGGCCGACCGTCTTCACCGGCCGATGGCCGATAGACACCGGCCGACCGTCTTCACCGGCCGATGGCCGATGGACACCGGCCGACCGTCTTCACCGGTCAATGGTCGATGGACACCGCCCGACCAACTTCGCGGCCCCTTGCCTTTAGGCCAGATCGCGCTGAGATTTGCTTCCGTAATATATAACCACCGGTGGCTGGCGACCACAACAGAAGACTATTGAAAGACTTACATCTGCCGTGTCAGCCCGCGTCACCCAGTGTACACGCTAATGGCTAGCGTATGATGAACGTGCTACCGTCTCACCCCGTCGAACACCGCAGACACCGTTTGCATGGGCACAAGCCTGAGTGTACGGTCACTTGCGCCTTTCACCCTGTGCACCCGACCCCCGACCTCAGGAAGGGAGTACCGGACTGGATAACAGAAGGAGGCGAGGTCTAAAAGCATAAGCGTCGAGTTGGGCCGAGTCTCGTGCCGGCGGCAAGCGGAAAACCACCCGCAGGTGACCGTTTTGTCTGACGAGATGTCCACTGTCGTGTATCCCGCAGACACAGCCATTTGCAGCGTACTGCTGCACAGACACTATCCTCTCTGCGATGTATTCCGCTATGATGCATACATGACACCATTGACGTCTATGGTCCCTTGCGTGAAATCGTTATGTAAACAAAATATAAATTACGCATAAAATCGCTCGAAACTGCTAATGCTCGCTAGCAAAAACTTCCATCTAACTTAAGTACACACATCACACTCCCCTTACAGCTTAAGTACATACAAAACAGTACCACAATTTAATATAGCTTAGGGGGCTGCAGCCAGCCCTAAATCGAGACCATTCGAGGAGACCATTCGTCAGGAATAGACCCTGTAGCGCGACATGATGAATGATGACGTGGAACTGAGCTCGTCCCGAGTGAGGAAAAATTCAGACAGCCGGGATCAGACCAGCGAGAATGCAGCACCTCGAGCCGAGGACAGTTATTTGCTACGTCAGCTCAGGATCAACAAAACAGACCAGAATAAAAAACGTAACAGTGATGTTGCGCGAAGGTACAGCTTAAAGGCCATATTTCAGGCCAGGTTACTAATGTCTCACGCAATTCAAGGCATACTTGGTGCGACCTGGCCGGTCGCCTCGGCAAAACAGGTGCCCGGTGACCTCGTTCCACCCGACTAACATGTACTCCCATTTGACACGCGGCAGTCCGACCACACGGTGACCGCTGGTCTAGAGCTGAACCTGGCAAGCCGAATGCGTCTTTGGAATGGACTACACATTTGTACTTATACCCTTAAAGCATGGGTAGTCCAGCAGCTGTCTGGCAGCTGGACGCTTTTCTGGATCCATCTGGTGACAGTCCGAAATCAAAGTTCGCAAGTCATCCGGTAGATGACACGGCATCTCGGGAGGTGTCGGACTGCCCGCGATCTGGAAAGAGCCATGTGAGGTTGAGTATTCAGTATACGATGCGATTTGAAACAAGAATGCTAAACTATATTGTCTTCGATATTTCCGCCCACATAACGAGGCGAATTAGTTGATGATTTATGGGAATGTTCCACATTTGAAGATTTTGAAGCTAGTCTCAGATCTGATTAAATAAGCTCGCTTAAAATTATTAAACTTCTGAGTGGAAAAGACTGCTCTAGACAACGCAATTTATCTATTAGTAAAATCTTCATCAATACGTCATTGTTTGATTCTCATCGTACCTTGAAAGACATGGATTGACAGCCAACTGGCGGCCGCTCTATCCCTCACGGACGGCAGATATGAGAGACACGACAATTATGTTTTCCTTAGCCTTGATCGCCCCATGACAAACGCAATAACAGGATTTAAATGACGTTATTACAGCGCCATGGATGCCTGGGCGGCATTGAAAGTCTGCAGGAAATAGTCTGTGCAATTTCGCGGGTGTGTAGCTCAGAAACTAGAGGACTTGGGCCTTAAGAAGGGCAGGGCTGTGAACTACACCAGATGATCCTCACGATGCATTTTTCAATTCAAAGCCCCATATAAATATGAAGCATTCCCCTTGAAACACTTTCAGCCAGCTGGACTGTAGCATCCGAGCGAAGACTCCACTTCCTTCGGGCCCTGCTCAACAGTCCAGGACTCCGAACCACCCTGCACGGCCCTAAATATCGCTCACCATGAACAGCATGGCCAGGTGGTTGCTGCGAGTGTACGCCTGCCAGGGCGGCTGGCCGGTCGCCATCTCGATGACGCAGCAGCCGACGCTCCAGACGTCGCACGAGCGGCCGTAGTGCTCGCCGCGCAGCACCTCCGGCGCCGTGAAGGCCAGCGTACCGCGCACCTGGCCGGTGAACTCGCCACGCAACGTGGCCGCGGCGCCCAACTCGGCCGCCGTGCCCAAGTCGCCGATCTTCAGCGTCTCACCTGTCGAGTCCACCAGCAGGTTTGCACCTGGAAGCGACAGGAGGAGGGACGTCACACGACGGACAGGTTCGAGGCGTCGGCGCACGACAGAGCGGCTCGGGAGACGGCAAGCTCTCAGCTCCGAAGTTCAGGCTGCTGAAGATGATGAACCGTTTTTCTCGCAGCTTGTCATAGAATATTTGGCACCAGCACGCCGCATGCCTCCACCACAACCGATGTTAAAATGGTTCGATGTATTCGCCTCTTACGCATGGCGTTTAAGTCGATTCTCTCGTTATCCCGATCCCGAGAAGGGCAAGCAGTCGCTCTACCCTCATCACTACACCAGCCCAGGCGCACGGCGTCATTACCTTTCAGGTCTCGGTGCAGAATGCCGTTGTCGTGCAGGTACGCCAGCCCGTCCACGAGGTGACGGCTGTAGCGGTGCGTGACGTCATCGGCGAACGGGCCGTACATCTTGAGCAGGTCTGCGACCGAGCCGCCCGCCTGCCAGTCCGTGAAGAGATTGACCACGCCCGGCCGCCGGGTGGCACACAGCAGGCGCAGCACGTGTGGGTGCTGCACGTTCGCCAGGAGACGCATCTCGCGCAGCAGCGCCGCCTTGTCCGTCTGAGGCGACATCTCCACTTGCTTGACGGCTACCAGCCGGCCGGAGCGCAGGTCGCACGCCTGGTAGCAGCGGGCGAAGCCGCCGGTGCCCAGAAGCGCGCCGCGCGCCCAGTCCTCGCCCTCCGTGTAGGTAGCGCTCGTGTCGCCCTCCAAATCCTGCGGGCCGACGGGCAGCGTTAGCCGGAGGAGGCGTACTGGAGAGCACGCCAGTGGGACGTCAAGCGGCAAATGCGAGGAACAGCTCTGACTTCGTCAGGGTCACATTACCACTAACCACGATGTCGGACAAGTGGCGATAGCAGACGGACAGTGTCAGTGATATCACAGTGCGGTGCCATCCAATGGCTCCGCAAAAGGGCTCTGGAGGATTGATGTCACAACAATGAGAAAACAACCGAATATGAGGCGTTCGACATTCGGTCCATTCTCCTTTGTAGCTAACGTCGTGACAGTAAGAAAACGTATATTCTACTGGCCTAAATGACATCATAATCAGGACAAATAGGCTGCCTAATTTCCTTTCTGACAGTCCTTGCCCTCGCAAACCCATAACCACTCGCTCTAAACTCACTGGGTCATGAAGGCACACTATGCAGTCCTTCACGGAGGTTGTGACGGGGCCGCGCGGTGGCCGGGGCACGGGCACGTCCTGCACCCCGCCCAGGTCCATCGCGGAGCGGACGGACGACGTGTCGCCGAAGTGACTGACAGGCGTCTCGCCGGTCTCAGGCGGCGCATGGGGACCTAGACGGGTGGCCGCGGTCGGAACTCTCCAGTTCGCTCGGCAGTAGGCAGCGCCGCTTGAAGGCGGCAGTTGCGTCCAGCGGCAGGTAGCTGGGCCGCGGACGACGCGTGCCGGTCGCCGCCTCCTCCGCCACCGCCGCCGGCCGCGGCCCGGCGCCGTGCGCCGCCAGCCGATGGCGGCCGCGCCGCTCGAGCCGCGCCATACCTCCGCCGCGGATGCGCCGCGTCAGCCACAGCCGCAGGTCCGTGTCCAGCGCGGCCAGCAACGTGCAGACGTGAGCGTACGCGGCCGGCGTCGCTCGCGCCGCCACCGCCATCTGCACGAACACGCTCCGCGCCAGCCGGCCGACGGTGGCGTGCGGGTGGGTGAGCGCGTGGTGCGCGAACTCGGCGAGCCGCGTGACGCGGTCGGCGGCGTCGCCGCCGGCGCCGCTGAACTCAGCGCGGAACTGACCCACCAGCACGTCGGCGACACGCAGCCGGCCGAGGCACCACTGCCACGAGTCGGCGCCGGAGAGGCACTCCTGCATCAGCCGGTCCAGCACCAGCTGCAGACCGCCCAGCTCGACGGCCAGCAGCGTGCCGCCAGGGCCGCGCGCCAGCTCGGCAAGCGTCCATACGCTGAGCTGCGCCGAGCGGCCGCTGGCGTCGGCCGAGCGCAGCAGCAGCGCGTCCACCTGCGGCGTGAGGGCGCCGCGCAGCCGGGCCGCCTCCTCCGGCGAGCAGCATGGCACGCGCTGCAGCAGCACTCTCAGGCACCTCTGCCGGACGGAGTGGCGCCGTCAGGCTGGCCTGACCGACCGCCGTCCGATGTCCGGCAGTGGTGCGAGGTCTCAGGCGGCGGTGCAGAATTAGTGAGGTCTTTAGGGCGGTGGTGTAATGTCAAGATCGAATCGGCGATTTACGAGGACATTGGCACAAGCCCAGCGAGTCTAGCACGTCGCTGACGAATGGTCACACACTTCTTCCTCAACAGCCAGACGGAGTCTGCCCGGCACAGGTGCAGGATCAGGTAAGCCACTTCCCCGACGCCTTAGCCCACTCACGATAGCGCCGTCGAAGACCTTGTAGACGGGGTCGGCGCAGAGCACCGCCAGCAGGTCGGCCAAGTGGTGCAGCAGGTCCACCGCCGAGCGGCCACCAGGACTGCTTACCATGTGGCTCAGCTCCTCAGCCAGCCGGCAGATCCCTGGTGGCAGCGAGCACGGCCCCGTGCAGGCAAGGATAAGTGAAGACAGGATCTATGCGACTGGTGATGGCCTTGGCTCGAGTGCGGGGAAGCAATATTTCATGTCGAGAATCACGCTTTCTTCTATGACTGCGTTTACTTCTCTGTCGCGAGTGGGGTTCCGACTCATGTGTTCAATCGCCTAAAAAGCTTACACATCTGGGTGGCTTTGTGTGCCGTACTCGAAAAGGTGAATTCCGAAAAAAAGACTTTCTGTCCGCGTGAGATCATGTCCGGAAAAAACAGCTGGGCAGCATAATACGCCTTTCACCCAGCTGGCCTCCTCCCTTAGCACGGTGCATTAAGTCGCGCAGCTCACCTGTGTCTCTGATCTGCCAGTCTCTGCTGAAGACCAACTCAACCAGCTCGCGGCCCAGCAGCTGAGTCCAGGCCTGACGGCGCTCCACGTCTTCGAGCCGCTCCAGGCGGACGGCCGTTCGCCGCAGCGAGCCGCGCCCGGCCGCCCGCCGGCCCAGCTGCGGACTGCGGCCCGGCTCCGTCTCCGACGCTGACCGCTCTCCGGCCGCCGCCGCCGAGCCGCGCGCCCCGACCACGGTCGGCGAGGCGGCGCCGGCCGTGTGCGAGGCGGGCGCGGCGGCGGGCGACGGCGACAGGGCGCCGGCCGGGTGCGAGTCGGGCGCGGAGGGCGCGGCCGGGCTTGGCGGGAGGCCGTCGGCGAGGCGGCGCCGGCCGTGTGCGAGGCGGGCACGGCGGCGGCAGGTGACGGCGGCAGCACGGCGGGCCTGGTGCGAGAACGGCGCGCAGGCGCGGCCGGGGCTTGCGGACCGTCGACGGGGAGCTGGCGCCGGCGCCAGGCGAACACGGCGGGGAGGCGGTGACGGCGCCGGCCGGCTGCGTCGCTGACGGCGTCAGAGGGCCGGCCAGCCGACGCGACAGAGAGGGCAGAGCGGCGCCTCCGGTGAACAGGCCGCCCACACGGCCATGCAGCGGTGGTGGAAGTAACTGCGGCAGCCCTCCACGCACTGTACCAGACTGTCGCCGGCCGCCAGCTCCAGCAAACAGATGGCACAGCAGCGATCGTCGCTAAAGGGATACAGATCATTGTCAGAATTCTAAAAAAAACGTATCGATGGTGCTTATATAAAGGACAGTATAAATGGTGCTGCTATAACTGACAGGTTTGTCACAAATCTCACTGATATCGAATAAAACAGGAGCACAACTCTAGCGAATCGCTGTCATTCGCAGCGAACACGATCCAGCACTGGCCCACAAGTTCACCAACGCACGACAGACGCGATATACAGCGGGCCTGTGATCCAAAGCTAATGTCCTCAGTGACATCATACCCACCCGTTGGCGTCTGACGTCAGAGCGTCGCCCGGCGACGGGCTGGCCACCTGAGATATGCGGCGACGTCTGTACGTCTGCAGCATTGCGTCCACCTATCGGCGCGGGCGTGACGTCACAACGTGGCTGCTTTCCTTAGTCCCTGCTTCATCCTGAATCCTTGCAACGACCCGCTAATCTGAGGTAAGTTGCATGCACCACCATGAGCGGGCTTAAGCACCCCTGGCAGGAGCCCCACCCGAGGGCCGGCACGGCCCCAGAGGGGCCCCTGTGCGGCGTTAGACTTGGCAGCGTAGGATCCCCAGACACATGTAGTTTTGCCCACCATTAGCCACTCTCCCTCGTCCCACAGCCCTGAAATGGCCGTTACAAGCCAAACTGACTAATGAAATAATAATAAAAAATAAAAAAACGCGGTCATGACGCCATCCATACAGCTTGAACACCGAGTTGACGTCAGAGACGGAGCACAGCTGCTGACATGAGCACGCAGATAGGGCACGACCACTACTGACTGACTGAAGCGATCGCCAGCCAGGAGGGACAAAATCATGGCAGATGTTCTCTGGTCAAGTCAGATAAAGGACTGATAAGCACCTGCAGGAGAAGCTGAAGGATCATTCACACGAGGAATCCACCACTGCATTGACAAAAACACAGGAAAGTCACATACAAAACGCGGGGACAAGAAATGCGGATGACCGAATAGGCTACAGATCATAGCACATGACATCTGACGGGAGACTGAACTGATCACCAGTCCGTCATATGGTATGTGACCGAATCGACCGGGAATAAAAATACGATGGCGTATCTGAACCGAGCATTGGTCGGAGAGATGACAACAGAACGGGTGACCGAGCAAAACACACGTGACGTGACGGACACCGCATCTGGAATCACGCCGTCACGGAACCGCCCCTCTGGCACACCTCATGTGTCTGGTTGCTATGTGCGGCATGCATACGTTGCATACCACTGGTGCAACACAGGTAGAAACAGCACCTAGTAACATATCGATACAGCACCCAGTAACATATCGATATTGCATGCTTGATGAGAACTCAGTGAGCGCCTCTCACTCCGCAGAAGCGAAACGAGCGCAGTTTGCTGTCGGGCCCCAAGTATGGACTTCTTGCACGTTTGGACGAACGCAGTCGGCATAGCCGTAACAGACACTGCGACAGCGTTCAGCATAATTGTAAACTGCTGCCGAGTTTTGACGGTGTCAGTAAGGACCGCCACTGAGCCAGCAGGGGTCACCCAGCGCTCTGTCGGCCTTACCTTAAAGACTGTCACTGAGCCAGCAGGGGTCAGCCAGCGCTCTATCGGCCATACCTTGAAGACTGTCACTGAGCCAGCAGGGGTCAGCCAGCGCTCTGTCGACCTTACCTTAAAGACTGCCACTGAGCCAGCAGGGGTCATTCAGCGCTCTGTCGGCCATACCTTAAAGACTGCCACTGAGCCAGCAGGGATCAGCCAGCGCTCTGTCGGCCATACCTTAAAGACTGTCACTGAGCCAGCAGGGATCAGCCAGCGCTCTGTCGGCCTTACCTTAAAGACCGCCACTGAGCCAGCAGGGGTCATTCAGCGCTCTGTCGGCTATACCTTAAAGACTGTCACTGAGCCAGCAGGGGTCAGCCAGCGCTCTGTCGACCTTACCTTAAAGACTGTCACTGAGCCAGCAGGGATCAGCCAGCGCTCTGTTGGCCATACCTTACAGACTGTCACTGAGCCAGCAGGGTCAGCCAGCGCTCTGTCGACCTTACCTTAAAGACTGCCACTGAGCCAGCAGGGGTCATTCAGCGCTCTGTCGGCCATACCTTAAAGGCTATCACTGAGCCAGCAGGGGTCAGTCAGCGCTCTGCTGACGTCACCTTAAAGACTGTCACTGAGCCAGCAAGGGTCAGCCAGCGCTCCACCGACCTCACCTCGTGTGTCTTGAGGATGCCGCAGGTCAGTCGGTAGTCGTTGACCGGCACGCGTAGCACGCGTACCATGATGAACAGCAGGTGCAGGCACTGAGAGGAGGCGCGGCCGCAGGAGCATGTCTGGAACGGCGGTGCAGCCAGCCCGGTCAACACGAGGGCACGCGGGGTGGGGCGGCTGAACTAGCATGTCGGATATAGATGAGAGGGAAAGGGCGTACAGTCAGACTAACTGGGGTTCACGTGGGGAGGAGCGACTAGACGAAAAACCGATACTTAATTGTCGGTTGCATGAACACATCGGAATCTCAGATACACCTAGCCAGATCAGCCGATGCAGGCAAAGGGAGAGGGGCCACAGGACGTACACGTTTCAACCGGAGCGCACCGAGACTTATCAACGGGTGCCGTTGCACATGGCGCGCGGACGAACAAACCTACGTCGGCTCGCAAACGCGCATGAAACCACAGAAACAAAACTGTCGAGGTCCTGGTGGTGCGTGCGCACCGATTAATCACCACCGGGGACACTCCGCACCGATGGTGCGGAGCTGCAGGTCACTTGATTGTGGACATGTCTGGGCAGTGCGGGTCATGGTCGGCTGAAGCTGGTGCAGCTGCCTATATGGGGTACGTGGGGTCCTTGGGAGCGGAGAAATGGCTTAGCTCAAACGACCCGGCAGCGTCATAAACTAGTGACACGCCAAGCATGCCAAGTGACTCGGCGTTACAACGCGGAAGCTGATAAGCCGAAGTGGTGCCATGGCTGGCCACGACGTGTGTGCCCTGCATTCCCATCGAAAGTTCTGGCCCGGCGCGATGACTGCTGAAAAGGCCTCTGCGATGTGACGAATCATCTGAACACATAGGGCGTGGCCGTAAGTAAAGAGCGCCGAGCGTTGCGCAATCCGCTGATAATTCTATTCGCGTCACGTCCGCGGCGTACGGGCCTGAGCAGCGTGCCGCTCTGGATCCATTAGCAATCCATTGTGTTACCATAGAGCGGACACGGCCGTCCTCGTGCAGTCACGTCAGCCCAGAGTGCACGTGTTTCGATGTCACGTGTCACGTGTCACGTGTCCGCTGCCGAAGCCAGCAGCGGTAGCCAAAATCAGCAACGGATCGCCAGAGCATGAACGGACGGAGCGGGAGCTGCGGTATCTCGATGCGCTACCAACTGATCGGCTCTTCCAGCGCTTACTGAATTGTGGACATATATGAAGCGCCCCAGGGACCCCATATACCCAATATAGGCAGCTGTGAGAACAACAGCATTCGCTCGCCAGCCTCTGTTGAAGTGAAGTGCCGTGAAGTCGCATTTTCAGATCACAAAAGCGTCAGGTTCGGAAACGTCGCCATCACTTGGGAACTACTGCCAACCGATGCAGCAAATGCAGCGTAGTAGTGTATGGCAGAACAGCAGCAGGCAGGCGCCAGCGCCGCCTGGCCCCGCTTCTCGGCCGGCCCGTCCTTCGGAGCATGCCGGCGAATCTCAGCGCCGGCTGCCGGGCGAACAGACACACACACGGCGCCTGGCCTGCACGGCTTTACAGGCTGATGCAAGAGGCACGGGTCGAGGTCGGTCCAGCCTGGCGCTGCAGGCCGGCCCGGAGCCACGGCCCGGCCCGCCGGCAACTACAGCGTCGCAGGCTCCGCCGCGCAGCCCTGGTCATCCCTGACGCCTGGCATGTGTGGCGAGGAAGGCGCTCACTCCTGGCGTGTAGCCTTGGATCTGTGATGTCGTTGGGTGCGGAATCTTTCAGCGGAATGTGCGCGATTCCACGGCAAAGTCAGTCCTGGGGCCGGGAACGGAATCGGACCGAGAGCGTGCTACCGAGGCCAGTTACGCACTCGGGTCGCTCCTGGTCACGCGGCTGACTCCGCTGCGACCAGCACCAGCCCGAGCACTAACGAGGGCAGGCGGTCCGCCGCGTCGCCGCGCCCGGCCAGCCTCTGCAGGGCCAGGACGTTATCCGACGATCTGGGCCGGTGTGACGTCACGGGCGTCACGTCACGTCCAGATGGCTGCGAGGAGTGACGGGCGAGGCTCCCTCGGCGGCGGGGCCGGCCGGTGGTGTCCGGCACGGGTAGGTTCCGACTCAGGCAGGGGGCGATACAGGGGAGAGGACCGGACAAGAGAGGAAATAGGACAGGACAGGAAAGGTCCTGCATGAGCCTTAGTATAAGGTAGCTGATGGAGTGCAGTAGGGGACAA